GATGTCCCTCAATTGAAATTTTGGAGACCATGGGTTTTGCAAGATCAACTGAGACAGCTAGTTGGGTGAACTTCCCCTGTTTTGTGGCTTCTGTGTTGTAGTCGATGCGCACCACCAAGCCAATGACTTTAGCAATTGCCCTTTAGCATGCTTTTGTGGTAGTATTGGATTAGTAGACTAATGAATCAAATCCATGCAACAACCGATGTCACTCTATCATCGTCAACTGAGAAAGATGATGTCCATGGTTGCACCGTAAGATAGTGCCTGTAGATGATCCAAGGACCCTCAGTGAGGGTATGTGTAAAGTCATTCAGGTTGCTAAACTTAGTTAGGTAAAAATTGTTCTCCAGGTCCATAAGTTGGAACATTTTAGTAGGCTACTAGAGACTTTGGAGGCTACTAAGCAGGGGTTAATAGCCAATGGCTCTACCTAGTAACCTTATGATCACCGAGTTCTTTATAGATTGGGATAGATAGTTCTGGACCATGTCCGAGAAAGCCATCGTCAGAAAATCTCCGTCCGTAATGAGGATCACATCTTCATCCTTGATTTCAAAATCATCATGTTTCTTTTCCGTGTGCCTTGTGTTTGTTAGTTTATCTTTAAAGGACACCCTGTTTTGTTTTAGCTTTCATAGAGGCCCATTCTGTTATGGTCGCAGGCCTTTTGGTCCCCATCCTCAGATTTTGTGTCAAGTTCATGTCACTAGCCTCTCCCATGTTCTCATCCGCATTCTGCTCCGTCTCCACCTCTCCATCTGGAGCTAGGTGATCGATTCTGTGCCTTATTCTTACCTTTTTGGTCGAACGGTTATCATCCAGGCACGACGGAGCCTTGTCTTTTCGGTGAGAGAGATATCGCTTAAAAAGAGCTTTTTTTTTTCCTTTTAAATTTTCTAAGATACTTTTGCTATTATTTTCTTTAAATGCTTGAACTAGAAAGAAAAATGTGGTAATGGAGACCATGAGTTGCCCTTTTTTTTTAAAAGCATGATTGATAAGAAAAAGACTTAGGGTCAAAAAAGGAATAATAATGTATATTTACGATGTGGTTTTCATAGATGAAGTATTCATGGTAAAATCATTTTTGAATTAGTGTCACTTTAGGTGTAACTTTTACTTTGAGCACTTGGTTGGTATGTTTATATATTTAATTCTAGTTTGGCTAGTTTATTTCATGCATATTTCTTTTAATTATTTTAAAGTCTATGCTACTAGATGAGCACTTCTTCCCATCTATTCTCATTTTCTGAGTTTAGCTTCTCTTTGGATTAGAGCGTGTTTTAGGTATTCAATTTCATCTTAACATATTAGTGATAACTCTTTATATTTATTGTAAATTTTTATTTTTGCAAAGTCTCCTATGTTATGAATATGACATACTCTTGACTTATTAGATTTAAAGGCTTTTACATAGACTAGTAAGGATGGTGTATTTCTTAATTGACTCAAAAGTAGGTGATCTGTCTTGTTAACTAAACCATTATTATTTTTGTTATACAAAGCGACATATCATTTGTTAACATATTGAGACAAGTCTTAATAAATGAGCCAATTGAGTTACATATAACTGACTGAAGATTGTATGCAGTCTCTATTCCTGGCGAGAATAGGCTACAAATAGTCACCTCGCTCTTTTATTTATCCAACGTATGAATGGAAAGGTTAGTAACTAGGGAAAAAAATAGGCTATAGAGAGCAACCTCCATAGCATATGTAAACCCAAGTTATCCAAACTACGAATACTTTATCTAATAAATCTATATCAAAAGAAAATATTAACAAGTGGTATAAGCTTACATTCCTAATAAGTTATCGGTTCATTCAAAATGCCTTCCATTTTTCACATTTTTAGTAACTTTTAAATGAGTTATAAAGACATTTCATTAGATATGATGGGAGAAGGTAAGCAAGAAAAGTGCATGGAAAATTTTTGCAATATACCGACTAGAAACGAAGACAATACTCAGGCTTGAAGTGATCATTATTTTAGCAGAGACAACATTTTGACATATTTGATGATATAAGGAGAATAGGTATAAAATTAAGAACTTGTTATGTAGGTTAACTATTGTATTATTATTCATCTCGAACTATTCAACATGTTGCAATTAAATCTTATTTTTTATTACTTTATACTTTCCAAAAATTATAATATAATTTAAATACTATTAAATTAATAATTTTTTATGATTATGATATGGAAGGATTATGTGTATGCACTTGTATATAGAAAGGCAAGAAGCACAAGAATCCAAGGGGAGGATATTCTTCAAGTTGCAAATTAAAGCTATTTGTTTTGGCACCATTTTCAATCAATCAAACATCTATTCTTCATTAGATATTAATTAGTTTACCTTCTTAAGTTTGTTTCCCACTATTCAATTTTATAGGATCACCTTATTTGTAATCTAATTTTTTTCTTATTTAAAGCTACTAGATGTCTGAAGAAATATAAATATACGAACTATGAGCATTCGTATAACTATTTCATTCACATCATGCCACAAAGCATTCATGAACATGATTATATAAGTATAATTCAATCTAACTTATAATTACTATTTAAAAACTGTGTTGATAAACATCAAGCAAAATTTACTAATTGCCATTAACAACCGCTGATGACTATTAAGAATAACAATTTAAACTTGTTAAATAATTTTTAAAAAATTACTGTTGATAATAATAAGACTTAAAGTCGAATATGAATAAAAAATATTACAAAATTAGCCATTACACTAAACATAAATAGCTTGTGCAAAGAGGGTTTTACCTATATTTAAATCAAATCAAGTTATAGAGCTTCAAAAACATTCAAGTAGCAATCGAAGGTGGCAATCGTTAGGAAATTCATATTCACTTTCACATTAAAAAATAAATACCCAATTTAATTTTTGAAGTATAACATATTATGTAATTTGGTCTCAAATATATTTTGTTAATCAATTCAAGATTCTAATATATGAAAAACCAAACAAGGAATTAATCAATTCCATTTTCAAAAAGAACTAAGCTTTCCACAAACCTATCAGCATAACAACTATATACCTTCCCGCAAGCTCCAACATCTTTGGCATGGTGGCTCTGCGCAGAATACAAAATCAATCTCCCATCATTCGTCGCTAACAAAATCTCACTGTCTCCTCTTATCTCCAAAGGCATCCCAACGACGCTTCCTAATCTTTGTTGAAAATCCACGTTGAATCTCTTTTTCCATGATTCCACCACTCCATATTTTTCCATCACCCAAACACTCACCCCGCGACTCAGTAACCCAACACCGCTGTTACTCCACGCAAAACCCTCGTATTCAAAAGCACTAAGATGTTTCCCCAGCAACGCGATTGAGAAGTACGCCGGAGAAGACGACGACCCACGAATTTCTGGAAGTGGCATTTCATCAAACACCTCATCTGCAATGTTGAAAGATACGATGGAGTAACCATGGCGATCACTCATTGCAACCCAGTGTACTGCCCCATTCAAAAACACTTGTTTCCGACTTGACTCGATAAACCCACCTGGTGGTGTCACAGCATCGATGCTCCTCCAAGAACGGGAGTTGAGCGAGTAAACTTCTACTTTTGGCGGGTTGTTGAAGATCATGGTGAGTGAGGGTATTTGAGGGTAAGCCAGTTTGATTACCTTGTAATCATCGGAGCGGGAATCAAAGCCGAAACCGAGAACACGCGAATTCTCTGGTTCTTCCCCACGAGAATTTGGAATTGATAAGGACTTTCTGATGATTGGGTTCCATACAAGAATTCCGAGAGCATCGGACAAACAAAGCAAACCATTGCAGGAACCCACTATACGGAACCCGCGACTCTGTGCAGAGGCTCGAAAGGAAAAGTCCAGTTGCTGGCATAGATCGAAATCAGCAGTGTTGAAATGGATAGAGTAGATCTCGGCGTTGTGTGCCGGAGAGTATAGTCTGAGGAGGATCAAGGTTTTGGTTTGTGAGAGATGGATGGAGACGAACGTAGGACTGGTGACGAGAGCACGCCATGATCGGGAGACTAAAGTGAACCTCACGAGAGATTTGACAGGTAATCGTACCAAAATTTCAGTCAACAGGTCGTCGGGAAAAACCTCTGATCCCATTTTCCGATGATAACTGAGCTTTCTTCCTCGCTATGATTCTGTTTATATATTTGAACAAGATGTTTAGAGTGTAATTTTAAAATAATTCTTTATAATTATATAAAAAATTTATAAAAATAAAGTAATTTCTAATAAAAATATAAATAAATTATTATTGTATATTTTTTAGTAAAAAATATGCATGATAAAAAAATGCAAAATAAATAAGCAATTAAGGCGTTATATAATTATGTCTTATGCTCATTATTTTGATTCACGCGTCTAGGGGCTTCCTTCTTTGTTGTTGAAACCAATTAATTGCATATGTTCACCCATCTTGTTTTAATAGATGATGTATTCTTTGAGAAATCTTTTTTTGAATTAGTAGTATTATTTTAGGTTTAATTTTAAATATTTAATTTATTATATTTTTCGAACTTAACTTTTCATCGGACTAGTGTGTATTAAATTAGGTATTTAATTTTATCTTAATAGACTAGTGGTGATTTTTTTTTGTTTATATTTATAAAGTTTCTTACATTATAAATGTGACATACTGTTGATAGATTTAAATTTAAAAATCTTCACGTAAAGTAATCAGAAATGTATATTTTTAATTGATTTAAAAATAGACTAACCATCTTGCCAACTTAATTATTATTATTTTTACAAAACGGCATTATCATTTGATAACATTTTGAAACTAAGTCTTAATAAATAAGTCAATTAAGTTGCATACAACCGATTAAAAATACATGTATGCAGTTTGTAATTAGTGGCGAGAATATATTATAAGCAGTCAGTCACCTTGCTCGTTCATTTATCTAATGTACGAAGAGCAAGGCTTATAACTAATGAGAAGGATAGGCCATAGATAGCCACCTTTATAGCATATTCTTGAGTTGCACCCAAATTGTTCAAACTACGAATATTTTTATCTAATGAATATATATCAAAAGAAAATTTTAACAAGTGATATAAAATTACATTCCCAATAAGTAATGGGTTCGTCCAAAGTTCCTTCTGTTTGTCACATTTTAGCAACCTTTAAATGTGGTTATGGAGGCATTCCATTAGATGAGATGGGAGATAGGTGGGAAAAGTAATGTTGCAATTGAATCTTATTTTTTCATTACTTCATACTTCAAAGAAATTACAATATAATTTTTGATGATTATGAGATCCGAGTATTATATATATATATATATATATATACACACACACACACATATGCATATAGAAAGGCAAGAAAAGTGAGAAGCACAAGAATCCAAGGGGAGGATATTCTTCAAGTTGCAAGCTAAAGGTACTTGCTTTGCCACCAACTTCCAATCAACCACACATCTATTCTTCATAGTATATTAATTAGTTTACCCTATTAATATCGTTTCCCATTGTTTGCACAAGTAGAAATGGAAATCACACCTTATTAAAATGAGTGGAAGTATATCAATGTAATTAATTTTATAGGACAATTTATATGAATATTCAAACTATGACCATTCGTATAACTATTTCATTCACATCATGTCACAAAGCTTTCATGATTATAAAAGTATACTTCAATTTAAACTACAACTATTTTTTAAAAACTGTGTTAACAAAAATATAGTAAAATTTACATAGAAATAAAAGAAACCAAGTGTAATTTCAAACAGACGCCTAGATAAAAGAATCAAAAATGGTTATGTGCTTCTTATCATAAGAAAGTCCAAAAGGAATAAACTCCATTGTTGGTATTAAAGCTTAAGGAATAAACTCCATCGTTGGTATTAAAGCTTTTATTGGCAAATTCTTGCCAGTCCTTCAGTGTCAGGTTTATATTGTATCATAAGAAAGAGACTTACCTAGTTTGAACTTAAACCATAATAATTAATCTCCCATACACAATACATATGGATAACCCAGTTAGTCTCTTTCAAGTCCATCTCCATTGCTCCACGTACTCGTTTTGAAACAATGACAAAGATCGACATCTCGTATCTAACCATTAGCAACTAATCAAAATCTTCAAAACCCAGCTTTTACCTGCACTCACCACCCCCTAATTGTAGGGAACAGAAGAGCACCGAGATTCCCAAAACTGCAATCAAACTCTACCTCTAAACATAATGTATCTTTTCACAACTCTGCCTTGGATTCTGGGTCTTCTTCTGACAAACTTTCACTGCGCAAAGCATCTGGTTTTGCAGGGGATGCTGCTGTATCTTTCAGGTCTGTATCTTCACCTAATATTTTTGCAGTGAATTGTCTGGCTTCCATATCCAGATCCGACCATTCAGAAACTATTCTTCTAGCACCCTGTGAAATAACAAAGTAGTGGCTAATGCTTCACTTATGAGAACCAAAAGCAACAGAATATAACAAAAATGAAAAGGGCTTAATTTTTTCTGAATTTTTATATCTTGAAGGATTTAGGGATAAATGAGGAAGAACAGTAATATATCATGAGAAAGGGGAAAAAGTGAAAAATTAGAACCAGCACATTTGGTCCTCGATCTTCTCTAACAAAGGGCTAAGCACCAGTCTCTCCCCCAAAAGAAAAAAATGCACACTCAAACACAGAAAGCACAAGAATTTTATATGCTTTTCCACCCATCAATTTCTGGTTCACCAAGCAAGTATAATTGGAGAACGTGGTGGATATCAGGAGGAAGGGCTGACTTTTTAATTGATGTTCCAGGTGGGTTGCAAGGTGCAAGAAGATCATACCCTTTCCCTACTCTGTCCTTGCTTTCTCTATCGGCAAAAACAGTGTACATAGGCATGCACACACCCAGATATCATTCACAAACAAATGCATAATAATAATGATGATTATAATAACGGCCATTATCTTCAGCAACAATATTTTGAGAGTAATAACGACCATTATCTTCAGCAACAATATTTTGAGGGTAATAATGACCATTATCTTCAGCAACAATATTTTGAGAGTTTGCTCTTAAAAAATTATATTTTCGAGACAAGGAGAACAGCTTGAGAAGTACATGTATACCTGGAGCTTGGGTTCCTTTGTCATAGGATTGTTGCAAAGGTCAATAGTTTTTGCTTTTGATTTTGTGGTATTACCACACCAAGACTCGCACCATAACCATTCCTGGGGCAGTGAAAAGATGGATACTGTATGTTGAGCATAGTTAGGAAGATCCTGAAACAGAAAATGAAACCATTCCATGAAATGAATTTTTAATAAAAATTGAAATAAGAAACTAAGTGATTAACAAAAATATTTGATTAATATGAAAACTGCTCATTGCATTTCTATGGCCTCTTGATTACAATAAGAATAAACATTAGTCAGTAAAGATCAGGATCTACCACCAGAGGGGGGAAGAAGAAGAAAACAAATTACTCTATCAGAGTGGAACCTACCAGAGAGAGAGAGAGACCCTTTATAGTTGACGTTCTCAAGGAGAGAGAGATTCAAATATCTAGGATAGCAAGTTTGAGGTTTTAGGAAGTAAAAGTAGGTTTTCCTCTCTCTCTCTCTATATATATATATATATATATATATATTTATATAACGCTGTGTCCTCTACCGGTTACATCTTGATACCATGGGTTGGCCAACCTGGCCGCCCTCGGGGGATCTCATGAGTGCGTATGGGAGGAGATTCTTTTCATGCGAAAATAAGTCTTTTGATTTGATATGCGAAGGCAAAAGGGCGGAGGGGTTGAGGATTTATGGGAATGGGAAGGGTTTCTGGAGAACTATATTTCTTGATAAGGGGGAGTTCGAATGGTTTTTAGATGATCTACACGAGTTTTGGTGGAGGAAGAAGCCACGTGTATGGGCGAAACACTTAGTGAGGAGAAACTATGAACTGTGGCTAACCAGTGGGCAAAATAGGAGGGGCGACTACATTGTATTGACAGTTCATGTGAACCAAAGGGCTAAGAGGATCTTCTTCCCAAGGGGCGTGATTGGGAAGGAGTGGTGGAACTTTATTGCTGCGGTGTTCGAATTGGGGGACCGTCCATTCAAAAAACTAGGGAACATGCAAAAGCCAGTTAGGGAGGCTCCTCCTAAGGTGTGACTGAAAATGGGAAACACAAATACACCTTGGAGAGCCTCTTTCAGTTGCCCCCATTGTAAAACCCCAATCCACTTTATGATGGATGCTGGCGGAACGAAATCCTATGCGGTGGCGCTGAAAGGAAAGGACGGAAAGATGATTGAAATTCAACCCGAACCCATGAGGGAGACATAAACAAAGGCCAAACTTCTCAATCCTTGGTAGTTTTGGAAATAGAAGACAAAGGTATAATTCGGATTTGAATCGTAACCAAACTAAATTTACTGGGGTGGGCCTTAAGAAAAATAGGTTCACTTGGGCTGAGAGAGAAAAATGGATAGTAGAACTGGACCCTAGTGGGACAACGGGTTTCTCTGGTAAGAAAATTGTGAGGAAAAGAAGCAAGCTCGACGAGAACATTCTAAATTTAATAAGGTAGGACTGTCTGATGAGATTTTCGAATCTTGTGAGGAGAAAAATGAAACTTAAGAGGAAGTTTGATCAGAGCATGGATGCCGAAGACGATGGAAAAAGAAGAGGTGAGTACGAGATGCTGGTGCGAGAAGAGATAGAAGATGACGATGTGTGCTCTGTCTTCTCTACAAAAGAAGATTTCAAGAATGAAGGTAAATTTTTTTCTGAGGCCAGATAGGTCAAGGACTTCAGGCAACTTGAGTTGGTGTCGGTTGAGGAAGATACCCTGGTACATAATCATCAATACAACCAGGAAATAGAAGAGATCCTTCATATCAGCCTCGAAGATGTTAATGTGGTGGAACGGATAGAAGATGATTATTCTCTGTGGATGGCTCAGAATGTTCAGAAGTCCAGAAATTATTCGGTGTCTCCCTAAAAAGTATGGAAGCCCTAACTTTTATTTTTCTGAATTAGAAAAGAAGAAATTGGAGGAAAAAGAAAAAGTTAGGGGTAACGTGAAAGGGAAGAAAAAACCTATTCGAGGGACACTCAGAGAACTCAAAAGATTGGAATCTTCTGTAAATTATGAAGGCAGAAAGAAGGAAGTCACAGCAGCTGAGGGGGGCTTGGATGACAAAGGTAAATGATAAACAAAGTTATTTCCTGCAATATAAGAGGCATTAACAACTGTTGTAAAATATTGATAATTAGGGTTGTTTGAGCAAATGGAAGCCGAAGGTCATATGTTTACAAGAAACCAAGATGAAAAGTATCACCATAGAGGTTATTAAAAGCTTGTGAGCTGTGAGCAACTTGAAATGGTACGTTTTACCAGCAAATGGCACCGCGGGGGGTATGGTGATTCTGTGGAAGGAGGACAGTGTTAGTATAACGAGGTTGTGATTAAAGATTGCACTATTTCTTGCAGATTTAAATGTAATAATGATGGGGCTGAATGGAATTATACTGGGGTCTATTGTAGGGAAAACTGTGAGGAGATATTGATATTATGGAAAGATTGACAGATGCAGACAGATGGATGGGAAATGGATTGCGAGTTTATATGATTTGA